AGATGGCTAAAGGTAAAAGAATTTGTGATAGATGTGGTTATAACTTTGCAACACCACGTAAACTCCGTGATCATTTAGAAAGAAAATTCAAATGCAAACCAATTACTCAAATCACAATTCCCCAAGGCGTCCCTCCTCCCATTCTCCACATTCGAGGAAAAGATCGAAGGCGAGAAATAGCAAAAAGAAATAAATCACCAAAACCAATTTCCCAAGAAGCTGGTCCAGGCCCAGCAACCCAAGCATATAGAGAAGAAATAACCTCACAGAACGAAGTTCAAGAGGTAAAATATGCACCAGAAAACCATTTTCGATCAATTTACGAGATAGAAGATGGAATTATAGAAAAAGAGCCACCCTCAAAAGCCATAGAATTTTTAGAAAAAAGACCAGACCCCAATAGACAGCATCAAAATCTTAATTCTATGACAGTATGGGAAGGAATAGTACCCTCAACCAAAAATCCTGCATATATATTTAATAAATGGCAAGACAACTCAATAAAATATGCTGATGCCCCATACATGCCCCAACTCATGGATTCAACACGAAGCATTATTACAGATGTTCTCAAAAAAGAGCTCCACAAAAAGGATCAAATAAAATCAGCATTAGTCATATACGCCACATATATAAAATATAAATATAAAGGGATAGGTGACTTGAGTGATATAAAAAACTATGATACAAGTTATCATCACCCGTATCATAGAAGCAATATGCATATTCTTTTTTCAGAAAATGATATAGACTAGCATTTAACACAATCTGTCAGGGAAATTGATGAAAAGATTAAAAAGTACTTAAAAGAAGAATCTGGCAAAATTCTTCTTAGATTAGAAATGATATTTATTGAATCCTATACCTACCGTCGAGCTAATGGAGGTTCCTATATTCCTACTCCCAAAAAGCTTGCCAATACAAAATGCACTATCAATCCAGATAATAAAGGTTTAATTGATCCTGAAACCAATATATTATCCGAAAAATGTCTTCAAGGCGCATTAGGTGTATATTTTGCCCATCAGGATGGACATACAGAGCATCTTGAACGAATCTTTCGAGCCACAAAATACAAGCCCTATTTAGATATTGTCAAGCTTGATGGCATTCCAATACCCACCCCAATCTGTTCACGTATATTTAATAAGATTGAGGAAATGAATCCTGACATCTCGATTAATGTCTGGGAATGGAAAGAAGAATCAGCAACTCCCAAACCGGTAATAGCTAGCAAGAACTATAATAGACAACATATTATATATCTCATGGCTCTTACAGATATTACCAAATCTGAAGATGATAAGTATGGGCAAAAAAACCACTTTCTTTGGATCAAAAATCCGGAAGGATTGGTTTATAAAGATAATGCTAACAAAGTTAAAAAGCATCTATGTAACTGATGCTTTCAAAGTTTCCAGTCAGAAAAATCTTTAATCTATCACCAAGAGCACTGTTTCGGTTTGGGGGAGGCTACTCAAAGAGTCACTTTACCCACCAAAGGGGTCAATGATTTTGAAAAGTTTAAAAATCATGCCCGGATGATTAATGCTCCATGTGTAATTATAGCAGACTTCGAGGCGGATAATAAAAAATGCAATGAAGAATATGGAGGACAAATGCGTAAACTCATGGAACAGAAAGCAAATAGCTTTTGCTATTTAGTCCACTGGATTGATACTGGAGATATATGGGGCCTTTTCTATATCGGGGAGAAAATGCTACACAAGAATTTGTTCGAAGAATTGATAAAGAGTTGGTCGAAATTAATAGGGTCTTAGCTATTAAAGCAGACCGAATTGAAACTGATGAAGACAAAAAAATATATACCGAAGCTGATACCTGTTGGATATGTAAAGAAAAACTTGCTATAGACGACAAGGTCTGGGACCACTGTCATATTACAGGTAAGTTTCGGGGACCTGCCCACAATACTTGTAATCTCAAACTCCAAATTGAGGCATGGAAGACACCAATCCCAGTTGTCTTTCATAACTTTCGGGGCTATGACTCTCATTTAGTTTGTGAGTCTGTCGGGCAATCAGTTAATGCCCACCAAATCAAAGTCATAGCCGAAACATTTGAGCGTTATAAATCTATGAAGGTAGGTCAACTTAAATATATAGATAGCATGCAATTCATGAATAATAGC